TTGAAAACTTTACCCCATCCATTTTGTTAGGGTTGGCTCTACTTTGAAGAATCAGCTCTTTCCCCAGTTACATATTTTAATGGCTTTCCACTTAAAAGTCTCATTACCCAACAGTATATCAGATAATGTTAATATCAGCCTTTTTTTGGAAGTAGGTCACCAAGTCCTCCTTCCTAGCCCATCATAACCTAGAAGCTCCACAGAAACCCATCCACCACGGGCGGCCCTACTGGCATTTGAAAGATCTGTGGCATGGCTTCCAACATCGCAGCCACACGTAAGCCATAACAGTATTACAAGCTGACAGGTGAGTTGCAGTCAAAGGTTAAATAGACCCTAGGTTTGAACTCCTCAACTAAAACTCTTAGCAGCCACGCTATGTGATTCTTCAGAGCTCTACTTGTCTTGTTACTCCTAACTTCTTGGAGAAGATAATCAAACCACACTAATGGATAACGAATGTGCCCCTCAACCCCACCCCCCACCCCCAGCTCTTTCTTAAGTCTTCTTAGTCCCTAGAATAAGGTGTATAGGAAAGTATCCAAGGATCTCTGAGGGTTTCCTCCAGCCTCATAAACCAACCACAGTTGTCAGTGGCCAGCCTGGCCCTCCTCCGAAGCCTCCTTCCTCTCAGCCCCTCCAGCATCTCCTTATTCTCCAAAGTCTTGTCATAACCAGTAGCCCCAAACCCAGATTATCACTTAAGAATACAGATTTTTATTTTTCAAGTCCTTACAATAAAACCTAGTGTTTAAGTGCATTCTTTTCTCAGTTCTGTGCTTACCTAGCTCATCTGTGCTTTGAAATCATTTGGGATGCTTGGAAAACAAACCTGATGTCTCTGTGTCACACCCAGAGATCATTGACTTAGAGTAAGGTCTTGGCTTTGGAGTTTGTTAAGAGACCTGCCACTCCAAGTGAGGCTACTGTGCGCACAAATTTGAGAACCACTGAATTATTATTACCCTGAGGACACTGAGATAAAAACCTCTAGCAACCCCTCTTTCCAGATCAAGTACCTCAAGTGCAGCAGGTGTGAGTAACATATGTACGTGCACATCAACATTACACGAGCAAGCCAGCATTCTCATTCAGGACTCTGAATCCAAAGCCTTTGCAGTGAAGTTGTGATGTCTAAGTGCTCACTACTCAAAGTAGAGTCCCTAGACCAGCAGCAATAGCACCATTGGGGGAATTTGTTCTAAATACAAATTGTTGATCCCCATTCCAGACTTGCTAAATCAAACTCCACGGATGAGGCTTAGCATGCTGTGCTTGAAGGAGCCATCCTGGTCATTCTGATGTGTGCTACAGTTAGAGAGCCACTGATGTGGGGATTTCGGTATCACCTGTACCTAACAGTCTGAGGAGGTACACATTTAACTTCCCTCCCCAGGGGCCCTCTGGCTCTGATGTACATGGGAGACTTAGGGTACTGGCTAAAAATGGCCCACTTCAAGGAATTTTACATAGAAAGTCAGAAACACGGGTGCTGTATGCGCTGCTTCCTATGCTATTTCAAAATAGTGAGTTTTAAAGCCAGCAACTTTGGAGGCAGAGACCATATCAGCCCCTGCAGTCCTCGGCAGGGTAATGAGCAGGCAGCTGTGCTCAGTAAGTATTTGCTTGATTGATGGGCTGACTGAAGCAGCACTAGGCACTGAGGTAATTAGATGGTGCTGATCACAGATGCCTTGCCTAGGCTGGAGGCTGTTGCGTACAGGATGAGGAGGTTCGCTGTGCGGGGGTTAGTAGGAGGCAACTAGCCTGGCACAAGATGAGAGCAGAGGATGCATCTGATTTTGTGGGTTACCTGCTCAAAGAGCACCTGAGAATCAATAGACTTAGCAACTCTGTACTCTAACCTTATAGGAGAGGAGGTGACTGCAGGCCCTGGATTCCTCAGGCATGGAATGGCTCCATCCCAGACGTTATTAAAAAAATCGTTTCTCTTCTAAGCAAAATAATAACTTGACTGAAGCCTAAGAAGTTAAAAAGCTACTAAAAGAACCAATTTAGAGAGATTTTTAGTAGGCTAAAAACAGATGTGACAAACCATTTTAGGATATTCTGGGAGATCTGCTGAGGCGGGCCAGATCTGAAATGGCTCTTGCACCTCCTCAGCCCACCCAGCCAGGTGCCTCTGCCCTGGAACTTGGAGGAAACAGCCCGTATTAGCCTCCCCTATCCGCTGCTCCTCTGGGACGCTCAGGCAGCACAGCCACCGAAGCTGCCCAGTGAGTCAGAGCAGACCAAGCCATCTTCTGATTGTTCATTTGCTCGGTTTTGAGACAACCACCATCTGCCTGCAGCATGCGGACTATGCTAGAAACCCAAGGCGCAGCCAGTCATGCTGCCTGGCTTCGGAGGCCAGAGTAGTGGGTGGCCATGTGGATCATGACAAGCTGGGCAGGGTCTGCTTTCCAATAGAGCAGTCGCTTCTTAAGGATAATGGGCGGCTGTTCGCTACCAGCATGGAAGCACCAACCTCATCTACGTTGAAAACCTGGAAAACCGGGAAGACTAGGTGATCAGATTTTTCAAGATGAGAAAAATTGATTTTCTACATCAATTACATCCTACACTAGTAAAATCATATTTATTAAGTAAGATACCGGTACTACAACACGGATTGCAGGTGTGGGGGATATGTTTTGTTCTCTTGTGACTTTCAGGTAAATACGGGATTTTTTAATTGTATGAAAACTCTATCAAGAATTATTTAATTTTTTAAAAGCCATCTCAGATACTATATTTGTCATTTTATGTTTATCTGCTCCCTTCTACTTACATATCAAAGTGACCAAAAGGTTAAAACAAGTCCCTCAATATAGAGCAGAATCAAATAAGTATCTTATAAACTTTATTATTAATTGGCATTGTATATTGTGTCTGATTCAAGCTATGGTACTTTCAGTCATTTTATACGCATGTGAAAGTTGAGCATTGAATAAGGAAGGCCTAGGAAGACCTAGAATAAGGAAGAAGAATCAAAGTATCTGAAAGACAGGACTGGCAAAGAGTATTGAACGTACCATGGACTGCCCAAGAACAAGCACTTCTGTCTCAGAAGAGGTGCAGCCAGAATGCTCCTGAGAAGCAAGGACGGTGAGACTCCGCTCATGTAGTTTGGACATTTTATTAAGAGAGACCATTCTCTGGAAGAGAATATCAGCCTTGCTAAAGTAGAGGAGCAGCAAAAAGAAGAAGACGGTCAACAGATGAATAGACACAGTGCCTGCACCTATGGCTCAAACAGGACCAGACACCGTGCTGTGTCCTGTCACGCGTAGGTTTGCTCTCAGTCAAAACTGGCTCGATTGCACCAAACAACTACAACAACAGCATAGTGCTAGAAACTCTATACGTGAAATGATGGTTGCTTCAAAATTGACATTGTTGTACAACCAAGGAAGGAGCTGCAAAAACTGTAGCTATCCTTTATTCTGGCATATTTTAGATCCAGCACAAATCTCAGTGAGTAAATTTCTGAAATATTATGGATAAGCCCTTTCTATCATCACAGATAATGTTACCAAGAGAGAGGGGGAAAAAGCTCAACGCTGAAAATGTAGTGAAGGCAGGGACCATCTTGATCTTTGCTCCGCTGCATCACTCTCTCCTTAAGTGTCTGGTTAACATCTTCCCGCCTACCAGAAACTTCTGTAAGAAGCAGCTAAAGCAACGACATATACCATACCACACAAATATAATTCACCATAGGTGTTTGGCATTTTCTCAGTCTATATTTTCTTTTTTTGTAAACTTTCCCAAACTGGAATTTTCCTTCCTATATGGATCCAGCCTTGACTCGTGTGATTTTCTCCTTCTATATAATTCAGTTCTTTCTAGATCTGTTGCAGCACAGGGATACATTGTCAGGTGTTTTCAAGAATTCTGAAATATTTTGACTCCTCTGAATTTTATCTTCCTTCTATTCTGAAACAACCTTTAAAAATGGGTAAACAGGCATATTAAATGATATTACACTTACCCTAACTACATCTGCCATAATCGACTTGACAGTGATAAGGTTATTCACATCCCCAAAGTCTGATCAGAGGGGATTCACCAGAGGCTTAATCCATGTGTGGACCCTGCAAATAAATTTTGGACTTCCACTTGCATCCATAGCCTTCTGCAAGCAAGTGTTGACAGTTTAAGTTCTGGTACCATTCCCTCCTTCAGATTTGGATTTTATTATTTACGATCCTTGAAATCACACAGGTTGGTGTCCATGGGGAGTTAGTTGGCATCTCACTTAGCTGCTTATTTGATGGCAATCCTTTAAGACCCCTTCTGATAGTCAGGCGTCATCTAGTTTCTTCACCACACTTTGCTATAGTATCTATATATATATCTTCAGTGACCTCTTCATGAGGGCAAGCATCAAGTCCGACAATATCAGAAGAACTAATTGTTCTTAAATCAAGGTTAGAATTAAGTGCAAACTCAAATTACATTCATATATCTATAGTTTATATATGTCTCTGGTTCATCTGAGAGATCTCATGGTTGTTTTATTTTTATTTTAGAGGACATTATCAATCATCCCCCTGGGTGACACTCCTAATCTTTAGTTTGGCTCTGATATCCTGCTCACTCTTCCTCAAAAATCAATTGTCAATTGATTTCTTAAATAGAAGGAAGCTAAAATTCAGAGGATCTACACTATTGCAAACTACTTTTTTTGGTTCAATGCCTAGGCCATTCCCATGCACAGGAAATGAATGGTTCATGTAACTGAAAAATTTTAGTATAAATAAAATTTGTCTTCACTTCAGATCAAGTTCCTAGGCTTGGCCTCTCCCATTACTCAAATTTTATTTTCTTCTTGAGAGAGAAGAAAATGAACAGATGACGTAGGAGGGGAAAAAAACACCTTGCTCTTAAATGAACACTTTGATTTTTGTGTGTGAATTTTATCCTATAAATCCTACTGACCCATCATTGATGGAACTGAAAAACCAAGCCCTTAATTTCCCTTCTATTTTCTAAAGGTCAAATGCTGCAAATACTGGCCAGATGATACCGAGATATATAAAGACATTAAAGTTACCCTGATAGAAACAGAGCTACTAGCAGAATATGTGATGAGAACATTTGCTGTTGAAAAGGTAAGTTTGTCTACTACTCCTAAAAGCCATGGTTAGATGTTCGTTTTGCTACACTAGCCTCAGTAACATATGTAGGATAACTTAACATGTGGTCAGGCTTTAAGGCTCTGTCTAGTGATTTCTCAAGATTGTACCTTGTCCTCTAGTGCCATAAGAACTCAGTTCCATCTTTACAGCAAAACATTCCCATTTGATGAGAGCAATGAATGTACAACTGCGCTTTACACAATTGATGTCTGTATGGATTGTGATAAGAGTTGTATGAGCCCCTAATAAAATGATTAAAAAATAATAATAAATAGAGAGGAACAGGAAGATTAAGCAAATAGAAGGGAAATGGCTAGAACAGAAATAACAAGAATGTTAATACAATGTGAAGAATTTAACCAATGCACTGAACACTGTGTGTAGAAACTGTGCAATAGGAGTGGCTTTGTTGTGTATACTTTCACCAAAAAGAAAGCTAAAAACAAAGCAACCACAAAACTAAGCTACAAAAAAAAAAAAGAATCTATAGTTTGCTATTAGACAAAAAAACAACTGCAAGATCGGTGGTTTGAACCCCCCAACTCCCCCACAGGTGAAAACTGTGGCTGTCTGCTTCAGTAGAAAGATACGGTCTCTGAAACCCTATGGAGTGTTGCTGTGAGTCTGAAACACCTCAATGGCAGGGGTTGTGTCGGGGTTGTTTGTTGCCTTTTTCATTCTGCCCATCTCTCTCTCTCTTTGTTCGTAGACAGTTTGATCAACCCCTCTGTGTTGTATGTTTGTATGGGTTTCCACTAATGAATCAGTGCCATTGGTGAGCAGTAATTCCTCACTCCTCCGAGAACGCCTCCACTTCTGTGACACTTTCTTAGCATGGACTAGTGGATTTTTCAGGAAAAAGCAGCCTACCAAAAACCACCAATGGCTAATCAGCCATGAGCCATGGAACACTCCTGCATGGACCACACAGTGATTCCCTTTCACTCCCATTTGAGGTCGGCCTTTTGCCATTGTTGGTGTTGAGTAAAGAAATGCTGTGCGGAGGCTCTGTTAAGCCTCCTCCCCTGTGTATAGACGCACTCATTCTCTGGGAAGCATTGTGGGACAGAACAGGGAATCACCTTGTCCCTCTCTTTCGGCTGACACAGAGAGGGGCCGCAAGTAAGCAAGCTGCTATACATCCACACAAGCGTCACAGGGAGGCAGTGGAGACACTGCAGATGGTGCGGCTCAGGAGTGCTCTCCCTTCCAGTCCTCATCTTGGCTTCTACAAAGGGACTCATGTGTGTCTGTGAGAGCTACAGACTCGTATATCAAGTGTTCTTTATTCAGAGCAAAGAATTGCACATTTGCACTCCCACTAATCTACTACCTTTGAATCAATTCCAACTCACAGCAACCCTATAGGATAGAGCAGAACTGTTTCTGAGGGTGTCTGAGAAGTAGGCGGCCTCATCTTTCTCCAGTGGAGTAGTTAGTGGATTTGAACTGCCAACCTTGAGGTTAGCAGCCCATCACTGAAGCCTACATTCTTCTGTGAATAGATTCCATGAAAGCCAGCCCTCCGTTAACAGCAGTAGGCCCCCTTGGAGTACTGACGTGATAAGTTACCTGCTAGGTGCTTGGAGGTTGGCCTTCCTCTCAATTGTTCATTCTCACAGCATTTAAATGCACTGTTTGCATTAACTGGAACAGTTTGGGGAAATTATAGCATCTGCTTGTTCAGTACTTTGCCCTGACTTTTTGAACTTCCTCTATTAGTTTGCAAATCCATATTTGTCATAGAATCACAAGACCGAAAAGACTATTTTCTTCTGTTTCTCATAGTATTTAGCTTTTTTTTCCCCCTTGGCCTACGTTTTTTAATAAGCAGACAGGAGGCTTGGAGACTTCAAAGAATGTGGAGTTCTGGTGGAGTCCGTTCTTCAACTTCTGAGCGTCACACTTTGATGTCATTTTTTCCATCTCAGGCAGGATTGGGGTGGGGGGAATGCAGTTGGAGGATTTTTGTTTGGCTGTTGGCAAGGGCACTCATGAATAACTACATTAAAACAGATAGCGATAAAAGACTTCCACTACCCCCTCCCCAGTTAAAAAAATTAATTCATCCAAAAGCTATCACTTAACCTAGGAGTTCTGTAAACAGCAGTCAGCTCTCTAAGAAGTTGAAAATGCATGTGTGTTGCTCCGGAACGGGTTTGTTTGTCTCCTGCTCTTTTTCACCCTCTCATTGTACTCCCCCAGCTGCGCATAACCGTCTCCCAGCCCCTCAATTGCAGTCATTAGACAGCCCATGAAGAGGTGGGGGGAGAAAGGGGAGGAAGGGGAGCTTGTTAATGCATTTCGGGAAATCAAAATGACATGTTCGTGATTTTCTAACTGGGCAATTGAAATCTTTAAGAAAAACAAATCATTAGGACTCTTGCAGAGCTGTTCACGGAGGTTTTAAACTCTCATTAGAGGAGAAAGAAAAAAACACACAAAAGAGTCAAGCATGTGCTGTTGAAATTCCTGCAGTTCTGATTCTGTTTTTGAGGATATGCTCCAGGGGGTGACCTAGAGGTTTAAAAAAATGGATTTGAGCTGCACTCTGCAAAACAAGCAGATGCCATGCAGCTGGGAAACCAAGGACTTCTTGCTTCATGTCCGATTGTCAGCCTTCCTTTCCCACACAGCTAATGACTCCAAGCTGAACAAACTTGGAAGATATACATAGAGTGCCTGTCATATCAGAAGGAAGACTGTTCCAGCGTCTCTCTGGATCAGGGCTCTCTGTTCAACCTATCCTTTCCCACAGTGGGCAGGAAGGAAGGTAATGGTAAACACTGAATTCTCTCTACCCAGGAAATGCCTGGGGCTCAGGGAAGGCAGAGAGCCTACTGCCTCAAAGACGGGATAAAGATAGCATGATTTATTCCCTCCGAAGATAGTGATTAAGCACTCACTTCATGCTAGGCATTATATTTATTATTATTATTACTATTATAACCTCCGTGTTCATAAAGAACGAGAGTCAGCTCAAGAGCACTTTTCTTTACTAATCTTGTCCAAAGTGAACACATGCCAGGGGCGGGAGAGTGTGTTATTTGAGAAAAAGTTTTCTGAATACGAGAAACTGACACTTACACTACTCAGAAAATGAGTCTTGGTGAGCTTGGCTGAGGATCTACGGCAAGACGGATGGACTTGGGGGTGCTAGAGCAGACATCTAGTAACGCTACAAAGAGATGTACTTAAAAAAAATTTTTTTTTAATGAAGCAAACCAAAAACACTCCATGGCAGTAATGTCCCCTTTGGAATAAATAATGTTTTATTAAATAAATCTTTATTACAAATAAGCTTTCTCAGCTCATGGGATGCTTATTGTGAAATTGGAAGCATCCTTGCCAGAGTCAACATACAGAGGGAGCTCTCTAGGGGTTTGGAGGTGTTCTAGGCCAACCACGTAAGTCTGTCTTGTAACGGAGAATTTGGAATGGCCTTATGTTACCATGGTTTCAGTGATAAGAAGAGTGGTCTCCTAGCTAACCAGGATTACAGAGCATATTTCATAGTTGACAATGTTGACTGTCATTTGTGACTCCCTGACTGCTTATTTCCTTAATATTTAAACTCCTTAAAAATACCATCTGTGGGCTCTCTGCATCTGTGAGCTATTAAAATAACACATACTAACACATTTAATAACAAGCAAGTCTTATCTTACAAACTCTGTTTACCTCTGCTAGTCTTTCAAAGCACATCAAAATTCTAAATGTCTTCCTTTTCCACTGCTCTGTGTGAATAATACCTGATGCGAACGTGCAATTTAACAATAGTACGGTTAAGGTATCTCGTACCAAACACAGAACCTCACATAGAGATGGCATTTGGTCAACACTCTGAGTGAGGGAACGAAGTTCAATTTGATCTAGTCTTGAGTCTGGAAATACTGTTTGTATTTTAAAGGGATCTTCGGCGTTAAAGTACAATCTTGATACATAAACTCATAACTAGGAAAAATCCGTGTCCATAAATCAATCTAATTTCCAAATGTATAAGTTACCTTGAGTTTTGCCATTTTGCCTTTACATCCCTTTCCAATTTATTAATCTAACATGGAATCCCAGCGTGTTCACCTCCTGGTTCTGCACACATTTGTTGCCCACAAGCAGGCTGTGCCACCGGTGCCCTCATCCCACTTGTCATGCTTCACGCCTTAGTCGTCACTCGCTTGTGCTGAGCAAATGAAGGGGCTCCATGTTAGCGTGCGTTAAAGCAGAAGCCTAGACAACCGAATTGCAAATCAGTCTTCTGGGACTGTGTATAGGAAGAAACCCTCTTTCATTCCCACAGCCAACGTTGCCGAGCCCCTATTCTGGATGTCCCTGTGGACGGCCCTGTACAAAGAGACCCCCGAACACAAGAGAACCCGAACAAAGGTCTCCATTGCAGTATGGCGCACACAGACATCTTTCCTTTCCTTGTTGAGTCCTGTTTGGTATCTCACCTCACACATACCATAGGCTGTAATGAAAGCGCCACTTTTCAACATACGACACTTTTTAGAAAGGAACTTCTGAGAGAATCGGCGATCCATCAATTTGCTGGAAGTGCACATGGACTCAAACATCATCCCCCCTTCACACCCACAAATGTCTTCCTCGGTTATGGATTTCAAATGGTGTGTTACATCTACGATGACCTTTCCATGTGTTATGCAGAGTTCCCTAGCCCTTGGCTTGCAACGTTGTGTTTGCCTAGTTACTCTTATCACTTCTTTTCCTCTGTTCCCTCCTCTGTGGTGGCTGGCGGCTCATTGGCAGAGAGGTGTTCATGAAATCCGGGAGATCAGACAGTTTCACTTCACCGGCTGGCCTGATCACGGGGTCCCATACCACGCTACAGGGCTGCTGGGGTTCGTCCGGCAGGTCAAGTCCAAGAGCCCACCTAATTCAGGCCCGTTGGTGGTCCACTGCAGGTAAGCAAAATGTCCAGGGTCTCTTACAAGAAACACAGTGGCTAATGGGAACAGGGTCTTCTGTGGAGGAAATGAAATGTCTGGAACAAGATCAAGAGTGGCTGAACAACTTGATGAATGCACTAAATGCCTCTAAGGTGCACACATTGATTAGTCAGTCTTGTGCTATTGAATGTTACCTCAGTAGAGACTTGCAAGAAGGACAAGTAGCACAGAGGCCCCTGTCCCCTCCACTAACTGATGCTTCTTTTCATTCAGTGCCGGTGCCGGGCGGACTGGCTGTTTCATCGTCATCGATATCATGTTGGACATGGCGGAGAGAGAAGGCGTGGTGGACATCTATAACTGCGTCAGGGAGCTGCGTTCACGAAGGGTGAACATGGTGCAGACAGAGGTACTGCAGCTCACCCTCCGTCCTGATGCCTCTGCTTCTTGCTCTCCAAGAACAGAGAGGAAGAAACACAACAGCTATCTCTACAAATCCCCCTTGAAGGCACAATGATGCATCTGGACATCTCTGTTTCCTGCTTTCCTTCTTTGATTGTTTGCTTCCTTCCCTTAATTTTCCCTTTCAATAATAAAAAGGGCAGGAATTTCCCAGGTAACAGGGTCTGTAGCCATAAACCTAAATTTGTTCCTTATGTTCACGTGACCAAGGCATAGTTAGCCTTGGGCCATATTAGCACTTGGGGTTCCCGACCATTTTGTTATCGTTTAAGTAGCTAGTAGCCAGAGTAAGGTCACCCCTGAATGGAACCAGACATCTGCCAGGGAACTGCAGGGTAAACTCCGTGCCTTTTGCTATTCTCTGAGGGTGCTGGGAAAAGGAGCCTGCTGTCCCAAACACTCCTCCCTACTGGCCTGGCACCAGGACAATTGCCTAATTTTCAGTACCTAAACTAATCCAATAATTCAATAAATTAGAGTTCAAAGTATACCAGGCATTTATGAGAAATAAATTTATGAGAATGAGAAATTTTTGAGAAATAGGAAATTCATGTCGTATTTTACCTACCACCTGAAAAAATGATTCATGGAGCAGAATGAGGAATTAGTAGTAATCCCTCACTAGATTGTACATTCAAGTTCTCAAAGCCACTGAGACGTAATATATTTTTTAAATTGCATAAATAAAGATAGTAGAAACTGCTGGTATTGCTCTCCGGATCTCCTTTTTTTCCTAGATAAATATTTTGTTAAAAAGATAATAATGAAATTCACTTTTAATGTACTTTATAGTTGATCAAGTGTTGCCACATCCATTTTCTCACTGAATCCTCTTATATTGAGTGTTTAATAGGAGTGGCTGCTTTTGAGAACTAAGAGTTATAGTTATTTATAGAAATTAAAAAGTAATAAGAGTTTTTATATCTAACATAACAAAAAAGCAGCAATAAATATGGTAAAACTTTACTAATTAGATGTAGGAAAAAAGCCATTTCAATCCTGGATGAGAGGATCCATTTTGTAATTGAATTTATTTAGCATATATATATAAGCACTCTTCTATGGACATAGAAGGGCTTTTATAATCATCACATTAATCAGTGCTTTCAAATAAGCAGCCAAGTGCTTAGGACATCTTGTTGTCCTAGCAATGTCAAATTTCTAAGACAAATTTGATCAACACATCTCCTTTTGACTGTAAAGGTAAAATTCTGCTCATTTCCCAGCAGAAATGCTGAGATCCAAATCAGAAGCAAGGTATTTGGGGGTTTTTTTAGCCATATTTCTTATAGTAATTCAGAGCTTTCTCTAAGCCTAGGGGGTGCTGCCACGTAAGCAGTGGAGTGCTAACCACAAAGCCTGTGGTCTAAACCCACCAGCCACTCCACAGGAGAGAGGTTAAGCTGGCTTCTCCTCTAAAGATTTACACCATTGGAAACAAAGAGCCAGCCCTCCTCTTGTCGTATAGACTCACCTGTGAATCAGAATCAAGTCGATAGCGGCGGCTTGGATTCCTTTGTTGTTGATAATGTTGAATTGTATTTATTCAAACAGTAAAATGCTCTACTTCGGGATTCTCTTTTTCCCGTCTTCCCTTTGTACAGACACAAGCGGCCCACCAGGTTGTTGACACTGGGACACTGGTATCCCGCTTCTCCTGGTAGTCAGGTTCTCAGGTCTCCTTGCTCTCTGCCAGGAATGTGTGATCTGTGCCCGGCCACTGTGCCTTTCTCCTGAACATGTGCGGTTCAAACCGTTGTTGTGCCTTCCCTCCTTCTCTAACGACCTCTTGGCCCTTTGGATTGCACCCTCACTAACTCGTCCTGTCTGTGCCCCAGGAGCAGTATGTGTTCATCCACGATGCAATCTTGGAAGCCTGCCTTTGTGGAGACACCTCTGTCCCTGCTTCCCAAGTTAGGTCTCTATATTACGATATGAACAAACTGGACCCTCAGACAAATTCAAGCCAAATTAAAGAAGAATTCCGGGTAAGTCATAGCAAAGGGAGAGGCAGATTGCCTGTAACCTTGCTCCATAGGAAAGTCAGCCCTCAGACACTGGAACCAACCAACAGAGTTTCCCACCTCAACTCTATTGTTATTTGGGGCCAGATAATTCTTTATTTGCAGACTCTCCCATGTTTTATGCTGTTTCACAGAATCCCCAGCTTCCATCTACTAGCTATCAGAAGCATCATCATCCCACCTCCAGTTATGACAAAATGTGTCCAGACATGGCTAAATATCCCTGGGGGGTGGGGCTGCGGTTTCCTAGTTGAGACCCAGTGGTCTAACAGAGCCATGTTCTCACCTTGAATGCAGACATCAAGGTATCCCCACCCACCCTGGACCCCTTATGCACAGTATAAGTATGGACACAATCCAACCTTGGAAATGTGCTGTCAGAAGATTTTCTGGGCAGTATTTCTTCACTGAATGCCTCATGTTCAAACTCTGCTTCAATATACCTGACGCTAGGGCTACACTTCTCCCCAACTTCTTACCTTCCAAATCCCCAAATATCCAGCTCTAGTCAGACTTGACAGCACTGAATCCTAAGGATCAACATGGCCCTTATGCCTCTCCCTCTGACACTTCTGTCAGATGGACACGGGCTGTGAATGAGAGCCAGGGAGCAAAGAGAGAAATGAAAATCTACCTGTGTGTGTCAGGGGCCCGTGTATGGGTGTGTGTGAGTGTGTATGCAAGTCTGAGTGTCTCTCGGGGCTAGGATGTGAGTGGACTGCAGGCAACTTGACTCTTTGAAATTTTGGATATGAGACAAATGTCTAACGTATCTCCTTCACATCTGTCTTGTGTCCTGTAGACCCTAAACATGGTGACGCCAACGCTGCGTGTGGAAGACTGTAGTATTGCACTTCTGCCGAGGAACCATGAGAAGAATCGCTGCATGGACATCCTGCCCCCAGACCGGTGCCTGCCCTTCCTCATCACAATCGACGGGGAGAGCAGCAACTACATAAATGCCGCCCTCATGGATGTAAGGCCCTCTAGTTCTCCTTGCCTACTCTTGTCCTGTTCTCACCACAAACGGCCTTGGCAGCCAAATGCATTTCAGATCCCACATGTTTCTGCATCAAGGCTGAGGTTCTCGGTCTCTCCGAGACAACTGATCCGGAAGTGTTGGTAAATGAAGCATGTCCAAGTTACTCGAGGAGCACTTAAATGTTTAACCTGTGGACCAGAGGGCAACAGGCAGCTATTAAGTGACTGAGACAGTGAGGTAGTATATAGGGTTTGCAGCATTATTTAAGTCTCTTTGCCTCCCAACTTTAATAGTAATTAACATACAGGAGGAAATCACCTGTCTTTACTGATCATACACAACTCATTATTTTCCATCAGTCTACTCACCTCTAAATGACATTTGCTATTCAATTGATGAAAAAAATGAATGAATGTTTTCAGAGCTAAAATGGAAATGTTCATTCTACCTGTGTTATGTCAGTAAATGTAAACTTAGATAGGTTTAAAGCTCCCCAGACCTGTAAAGAGCAACATGACAGCAGAAATAGCATTATTTTAATTATAACTTATTTTTTTCAGGTCCACCACTTGTCTGTCAGTTTGTCATACATAGGTGGCTTGTGTGTTACTATGATGTTGGAAGCTATGTCACTGGTATTTCAAATACCAACAGGTTCACTCAAAGTGAACAAGTTTCAATAGAGCTTTCATACTGTGAACAGAATGTGAAGAAGGAATCGCCTGTCCACTTGTGAGAAATTAGCCACAGAAAACGTAATACATAGCATTAAAACATTATTGGAAAACCTCATGAGTAGAACATTGCCAGTGCTAATGCCGTAAGATGAGCCCCGCAGGTCAGAAGGCACTCAAAATATGACCGAAGAGGAGTAGCCTTCTCAAACTATTTTAACTCCGGAGTTGACCACAGTGACACTAATGGAACCTGTGGCACCTTCAGTGGCTGATTGACCTCAACTCCCAACGAGAAGAAACAACTGCATACATCCGATAGTATTTGGAATTTGGATTGTACAAAGAATGAATCTAGGAAAACTGGAAGTTGTCAAAAATGAAGTATAATGCATAAAGATCGATATTCTAGGTGTTTGTGAGCTGAAATGGATTGATATTGGTCATTTTTAATTAGAAACTCAGATGGATGGTATATCAGGAATGATAGATTCAAGAGGAGTGGGATTGAATTCATCATCATCAAAAAGGAAATTTCATTACTTATCTTAAAGTAGAACACTGTCTGTGATAGGATAATATCTATCGGCATAAAATGAAACCCTGTAAGTAAAACTATTATTAAAATTTATGCACCAATCATTAAAGCTGGTGAAGAGGAAGTCCAAGGATTCTACCAAAATCTTTAGTAGGAAATTGATCAAACATGCCATTAGGATGAATTTCTAATTATTGCACATTGGAAAGCAAAAGTTGAAAACAAAGAGGAAGAAACAGTAGTTGGAAAATACGGTCTTGGTGATAGAAATGAAGCTGGAGATGGCATGATAGAATTTTGCAAGACTAACAACTTGCTCAGAGCAAATACATTTTTCAACAACACAAATGGAGACCATTCACATAGACTTCTCCAGATTGAATACACAAAAATCAAATTGACTACGTCTATGGGAAGAAACAATAGAGAAGCTCAATATCAACAGCCAAACTCTGGAACAGATTATCAATTGTCCATATGTATGTTCATATTGAAATTGAAACAAATTAAAACAAGCTCAAAAGAGCCAAATTTTGACTTTCAGTTTATCCTACTTGCGTTTTGAGAACATTTCAAGATGAGATTTGATTCATTGAACACGAATGGCCGAAGACCTGGCCAGCTGTGGGATGGCGTCTAGAACATGCAGGTAGCAGAAGGTCATTCAGTAGACAGGAAAGAAGAAAAAGATCCAAGTGGGTAGCTCCTTTGAGACTATGAGACTTGCTCTTAATTGTAGAGCAGCTACGGCACATGGAAGAGATGAAGAAGGAAAAAGAACAGAAAAATCCAAAGGTCAGCTTGAGAAGACAAAGGAAAGTGAAATGAAATGTCCAAAGACCTTGCATTAGACCGCCCAAAGGGGAGGGCATACTCGGCTCAAGCTCTCAAGTTGAGAGAACTGAAGAAGAATTCCAGCCTCAGGTTGCAAAACTAAAAGAGCACATGGGCAAAATATTGACTGCTACAGGAAGCAGTAAAAGAAGATGAAACTAATACACAGAATCACCATACCAAAAAGAACTAGTGACATTCAGCCATTTCATGAGGTAGCCCGTGAGCAACAACCAGCCAGTGGAGCTGAAGGAAGAAGTTCCAGGTGCACTTGAAGGATTGGCCATAAACAAGGCTCTGAGAATGGTGTTATAGCAATTGAAATATTTCAGCAAGCTGATGAAGTACTAGAAAACTGTGGTTCTCAACCTGTGGGTCGCGACCCCTTTGGGGGTCAAATGACCCTTTCATGGGGGTTGCCCGATTCATAACAGTAGCAAAATTAAAGTTATGAAGTAGCAAGGAAAATAATTTTATGGTTGGGGGCCACCACAACATGAGGAACTGTATGAAAGGGTCGCGGCCTTAGGAAAGTTGAGAACCACTGTCCTAGAAGCACTCACTTGTCCATGCCAGGAAATTTGAAAGATAGCTACTGGAAGAGCCCCTTTTTGTACCCTTTCCAAAGGACTATAACACAACAGAATGCTCTGATTTTTTTAAAAATCATCAATATTAAATGAAAGTGAATTTGTGCTGAAGATCATCCAACAGCAGTTGCAGTAGTACGTTGATAGGGAGCTGCCAGAGGTCCAGGTCAGATTCAGAAGAAGACGTGGAACAAGGAATATCATTGATGATGTCTGATGGATCTTGGCTGAAACCAGAGAATAGCAGAAAGATATTTACTTGTGTTGTATTGACTATGCCAATGAATTCAACTTTGTGGATCATAACAAACTATGGGTAGCCTTGAGAAGAATGGGGATTCCAGAACACTTCGTTGTTCTCACATGAGCCTGCACATAGGTTAAAAGATAGCTGTGTGAACAGAATAAAGGTTTAAAATCAAGGAAGGTGTGCATCAGGGTTGTTTCTTCTCACGTAATTTTCAGTCTGTATCTGAACAAATGATCAGAGAAGCTGGATTCTATGAAGATGAATGAGGCATCAGGATTGGAGGAAGGCTTATTAACAACTTGCCATACGCAGAGGACACAACCTTACTTGCTGAAAGGAAGGACTTAAAGCATTTGCGGATGAAGACCGAGGTCTGTAGTCTTCAGTATGGATACAGCTCAATGTAAAGAAAAGCAAAATCTTCACAACTGGAACAATAGGTAACATCATGATAAACAGAGAACAGATTGAAATTCAAGGTGGTTTTTTTTCATTGCTTGGATCCACAATCAATGCACATGAAAGCAGCAGTCAAAAGAGATTAAATGACTCATTGCTTTGGGCAAATCTGCTGCACAAGACCTCTTTAAAGTATTGAAAAGCAAGGATGTTACTTTGAAGTCTAAGGGATGCCTCACCCAGCCATGGTATTTTCAATCGCCTCATATACAGGTGAAGATTAGACCAAAGGTGACAAATGGATACATTGGAATTCCGGTGCTGGCAAAGAATATTGAAAGTACCATGGACTGCCAAAAAAAAACAAAAAACAAATCTGTCTTGGAAGAAGTACAGCCAGAATGTTCCATAGAGGCAAGGATGGTGAAACTTTGTCTCACACACTTTTGACATGTCAAGAGAGACCAGGCCCTGGAGAAGGATATCAGGCTTGGTAAGTGGAAGGACAGCCAAAGGAGGAAGACCTTCAAGGAGATGGCTAGCCATGAACTCCAGTGTGAGCACCGGGTGACGATAGCACAGGACTGACCAGCATTTCATTCTGTTGTACGTAGGCTTGCTATGAGTTGAGACAAAATGAATAGCAATTAAGAAGAGAAAATATATGAAGGAAGGTTAAAAATATTGTCCATTAAAGTAACTATGTATAGAAGTGAATTATACCCTTCTACCAGAATATAACATATTTATGAGAGGAATTTAGAAATTTCTCTAATCTCAAACTAAGAACATTTTTTATTGTTAGTTTGCAGATAAATTTATGTTTGATCTATTTTGGTATTGATGAGAGTGATAGTATTTAAGATTGCTAAATATGTTCTGTGTTTTGTGCCACAGATTTCCATGTGTACAAATTAGCTTCCTCCTGTAACCTTTTCAAAATCCAAAGAGTATATTTGGATCTTTTGGTTTGTGTTTGCAGAGCTATAAACAGCCATCAGCTTTCATAGTCACCCAGCATCCTTTGCCAAACACAGTCAAAGACTTCTGGAGGCTGGTCCTGGATTACCACTGCACATCTGTAGTTATGCTAAATGATGTGGATCCTGCCCAGGTGAGACTCATGAGTTACTTTCATCAGAGTTGGTGCTACAGGGACAAGTCCAGATAGGTCCTGGTCTGCTTTGTCTTGCGTTTGAGAAGGCAAGGATTGAGAATGGCGTTGCTGAAATGCACATGTTTAAAAAAAAAACAAATGGGATCAGGGAGTAGAGCAGAAAGTCAAAGTTAATATAAAGCAGAGAGAGAGGTGCAGATGATAGACAACAGGAGTGACAGGCAAGACAGATATGAGGTACTCCTTATAATATGAGAGTACTGACTGGAATGGGAATAAGGTAGTGGGCATATAAAAAGTAAACAGGAAGCCGACACATCATAACCGAAAGGGGAGTAGAGCAAAGCAGACTTAAAAACAAAACCAAAAAAACAAAAAACACCTCATGGAGAGTAGAGTCAAACTGCCTGATTGGATTTCCCAGAGAGCTGCTTGTGGGTTTGAACTGCTGACCTTGAGTAAGCAGCCCAACATAGAATCCACTATGCCACCAGGACTGCACAACAGACTGTGGAGCAATAAAGAAAGGGCTTCAACCTGTGGTATGGTCCTTAGTCCCAAACCTACAATGTGTATGTGCTTCCTAACACTGCTCACCTGGAATTTTCAGGTCAAGGAGACAGGGGATAAGGTATTGACAAGGATGTGTGGAGAGAGGCAAATGATTGTAAGGGGCAGTAATTCATTTTTAACTCTTCAGCAAAGATTTTTAAAAGAATTAAAACATGGGTTTAGAGATAACAGAAGCTCAGAAAAATAAAAGACGGCCTTCTCCATAGTGCCTATTCTTAAAGATGAAGAGAAACTATTGGACAATGATGACAATGTCACAAATGGGGCTAGAAATATTTCCCGAAAGAGAATTGTCAGGTGAGTGTTTGTGCGATGGTCCTTTACAAGCTGGATTTAAGGAGCACAGACATATCTTTTAAGGAGTACCTTGTTACATGGAATGCTTTGGGCTTAGGTTATACCAATAATAACAGAGCCCTAATGGCAAAATGGTGGTACATTTGACTGCTAACCGAAAGATTCGAAGTTTGAAACCATGGGAGAAAGACATAACTTTCTATTCCCACAGTTGCAGTCTAGAAAACTCACAGGGCCAGTTCTACCGTCTGTAGGGTCACTTTGAGTCGACACCTACTTGGCAGTGAGTGGTTTGGTTCGGTTGGGTTCAGTTTGGTTTGGTTGGTTTGTATCAATGATAGGCATAACTATTGTGATAGAGGGTATTATTGAAAATTCGAATGTAGCGTATTTTAAGGATAAACTTGTTCTGAAATCAAGTTAATTTACTATTTTATAGAGAAAATTCTTTTGTAGAAAGAGTTCTGAATTATTATAGTTTCCAACTGGATAGATTTGTCCCCAACATTCATTTCCTGGCCATCAATCTGCTAACCAATAGCATGGACATTAAACCCAATTCCTAATGTTTTTAAATATGTTTGAGGCATTAAATTATACATATTAATAAGACTCTATCCTGAAACCTAGTTAATAAAATAATAATGCTAATCCCTATTCTCATATAGTTTTTTGCTTACTTAAGAAGCTTAAGTATTTAGAACTCTTTCCATTGATCTTCCAAGAATGATAGAATGCAGTGCTCTAAACTTTTTTTTCCTTCATATTCGTGAAGAAGATGCTACTGATTTTCGTGTGTTCTTTTTGAACCACAGGATTTGAACCTTATGGCTGAATTCTAAACTCACACTATGTGGGCTCCTACGAATAATAGCTAGCTTACTGTGGTAGATAAGACAAAGGGATACAGTTTTGTTCAGCAGCCAGAGCCAATTTTCAGAGTGAGAGAAAGTAGACTCCTGGGACTTAGTCCCTTAGAGAATACTCAACGGAGCATTTGAATATAAAGGCTTTGCAGTTCTTTTACAAGAATAGCACTCAACTTTTTAAAGTATTTATAAATCCTGCTCATGGATAGGTTATGCACCATTTGAGCCATTGTCTACCCTGTTTACTTAGACAAAGGGTGGGAAAGACTCCGGGCCGATAGTCAAGGCCCACCCTGGGCCATTCATATTTTTAATCTACGTGACAAGCTTCTAATTAGAAGCTTGAACTAAGAGGAAGCAGGAAGCAAAATGAATCCCCAG